TTTCAGTAACACAGCAACACTGTTTAAGCATCCCTGTTTCAGTATCACAGCAACACTGTTTAAGTATCCCCGTTTCAGTATGACAGCAACACTGATTAAGCATCTCTGTTTCCGTATCACAGCAACACTGTTTAAGCATCCCTGTTTCAGTATCGCAGCAACATTGTTTAAGCATCCATGTTTCAGTATCACAGCAACACTGTTTAAGCATCCATGTTTCAGTATCACAGCAAGACTGTTTAAGCATCCATGTTTCAGTATCGGTTTGCTGATGAAGCCATCAACATCATCGATCGTCACGACAAGAGTCGGCCCCTGTTTCTGTACCTGCCGTTTCAAGCCGTGCACTACCCCATACAGGTAACACTGCCTCCTATTTATCACTAATATTCACTCGTAATGTTTCGGGCCTTTTGACAAGAAATTATGTGTGTAATGTGTATTTTTCCTTTTTTCTTTAAGGTTCCCCAAAAGTATGAAGCAATGTATCCGAACGTGAAGGTAGAAGGTCGTCGTAAATATTGTGGTATGTAGGAATTACTCAATTTATGAACATTTTTATATGAGTACAAAGACATCATATTTTGATTTTGTTTTGTAAACAAATCCCGCGTATGTAATAGAAACTGTCAGATATTTCTATTTTTGAAAAGGAAGGCATGTATAACTGGTAACAATTTACGTGCAATCAGAGAGGAATATACAAAAACGTGAATATCAGCAATGCCGGAAGGTATGGTCACTTCATGACAACACCACAAATGTGATTGTCAGGCAGTTCTCATATGATCATTCTTGTGATCGTGTGAACCACCTCCAGCGACCACCTCAGCACCTCGTGTAGCCACCCATCGCACGGAAAGCCTCCTCTTCATCATCAGTTCTCCGTGTTGGAACCCTCTGTCATGTTTCAGGAAGTGTCTGCGTTAGTTCCTGGAAATTTTGAACAGGATCTCTCAATCGGACTTGGCGTCAAAGATAGTTTCCCAAAAATGTTTCGATGGGGTTCATATCGGGGTTAATATCGGGGTTCCATGCGGACCCCGGCAAAGTTTCGATGGGGTTCATATCGGGGCTCCATGCGGACCCTGGCAATGTTTCTATGGGGTTCATATCGGGGCTCCATGCGGACCCCGGCAATGTTTCGATGGGGTTCATATCGGGGTTCCATCCGGACCCCGGCAACGTTTCGATGGGATTCATATCGGGGTTCCATGTGGACCCCGGCAAAGTTTCGATGGGGTTCCATGAGGACCCCGGCAATGTTTCGATGGGATTCATATCGGGGCTCCATGCGGACGCTGGCAATGTTTCCATGGGGTTCATATCGGGGTTCCATGAGGACCCTGGCAGTGTTTCGATGGGGTCCACATCGGGGCTCCATGCGGACCCTGACAAACTTTCGATGGGGTTCATATCGGGTTCCATGCGGACTCTAGCAATGTTTCGATGGGGTTCATATCGGGGCTCCATGCGGATGCTGGCAATGTTTCGATGGGGTTCATATCGGGGTTCCATGCGGACGCTGGCAATGTTTCGATGGGGTTCATATCGGGGTTCCATGAGGACCCAGGCAATGTTTCGATGGGGTTCATATCGGGGTTCCATGCGGACGCTGGCAATGTTTCGATTGGGTTCATTATCGATGGAGTTTCATATTCCATGAGGACCCAGGCAATGTTTCGATGGGGTTCATATCATGCGGACGCTGGCAATGTTTCGATTGGGTTCATATCGGGGCTCCATGCGGACGCTGGCAATGTTTCGATGGGGTTCATATCGGGGCTCCATGGTGATGCTGGCAATGTTTCGATGGAGTTCATATCGGGGTTCCATGAGGACCCAGGCAATGTTTCGATGGGGTTCATATCGGGGTTCCATGCGGACGCTGGCAATGTTTCGATGGGGTTCATATCGGGGTTCCATGCGGACGCTGGCAATGTTTCGATGGGGTTCATATCGGGGCTCCATGCGGACGCTGGCAATGTTTCGATGGGGTTCATATCGGGGCTCCATGCGGACCCTGGCAATGTCTCGATGGCATTTTTCTGCAAATGGGCGACGACGGCTCCAGAACGGCGAGGTCTGGCAATGCCATCCATGAATATTGGACGACTAGTGAGGGGGTGGATGGTTCTCAAACTCCAGTACGTCCTGGTAGCTTGCAGTCATAGGGAACGCCACCACACACCTTCACTGAGCCACCACCAAAGAGTTCAGCTGCGTGGATCATGTCCTGGGGATATCATTCGCTTCGACGTCTCCACACGCAATAGCAGCCGTCGGTAGCGTGTGGAACATAGCAATTTACATCAGACCATGAACCCAACGCCAGTTCTTCAAGGTTCCCGGAACCTGCACCATGCCTGCCTATGCTTATCTGGGAGGAAACGACGTCTGATTGGACGACGTTTCCTTAGCCCAGCAGCCTGTAGCCTCCTTCTGATTGTTCTGGTGGCGAGTCGGACTCAAATCTTCCATTGCCGGCACAGTTCTTCGGCATGGGTCTCGTTAAATTGCGTTTTGCCAGACGAATAAGAACTCGGTCATCACGTTCGGGGCACCATGCATCCCAGTAACTTGCCATCGTGCATTTCCTGAAACTCTTGCCATGGCAAGAAAAGTTAATGTTAATGTTTACTGCTTTCGTCTGCATAATCAGTCCAGAAAAAAAACGGTACTGGAATTTATACCCCTGTGTGCTTGGAACTTTGGACCCAAACCTTTTGAGATATTATGTGAAGCACGGGATTTACGTGTTCATTCCAGTGTGATCGCCTATTTGGACCAAATTTATTTAAATAGCTCTTGAATTCGGGTGCTTAATCAACGTTCCTAGTTGCTGCTCCTATTGAGGACACAAAATGACCATAGATGTGTGTAATTGACTTTCAAAAAGTGATTGACGAGTTACATGGTGAAACAAATTTAGCAACTGATGCTGACATGAATCAGAATCAATAAGTGCCACATAGTTTTTGATTAATAGACCTGCTCTCAGTACGTATCACGGAGCTCTTGATTTCCATGCTTCTAGGGATGGTCTCAGTACTTATAATGGAGTTCTTGATTTTCATGCTTCCAGGAATGGTCTCAGTACTTATCCTGGAGTTCTTGATTCCCATGCTTCTAGGAATAGTCTCAGTACTTGCCATAGAGTTCTTGATTCAAATGATTCTTGAAATGGACTCACTACTTACCCTGGAGTTCTTGATTCCAATGCTTCAGGAATGGTCTCAGCTCTTGACGACGCAATTGGTAATATAACAAAGGCCTTGACAAGCAGCGGATTAATGAAAGACACACTGATTCTGTTCACTGCCGTTGTAAGTATTACTTTATACCATCTCCTCAAATAAATATGAACACACTGTGATACTTGACACTCGCTAGAGTGTTCTGGTTTTGTTTGCATTTTTTGTCCTCAGTCGCATGAAAATCGTGCAATTCGACTTTAGTGTCTTAATTGAATATTGGGCGGTGGGGTAGCCTAGTGATTAAAGCGTTGGCTCGTCACGCCGAAGACCCGGGTTCGAATCCCCATATGGGTACAATGTGTGAAGCCCATCTCTGGTGTCCCCCGCCGTGATGTTGCTGGAATATTGCTAAAAGCGGCGTAAAACCAAACTCAGTCAGTCAGTAATTGAATATTACATTTGGTCAATACCGATCAGAGAAACTTCCAATGAGTTTGATGACATTCTACATTGTGCCTAAAATAGATCTCGTACCCTTTCTTTTAGAATGGTGGCTGGGTCACCAAACATGGCAACAACTTCCCCTTGCGAGGAGGCAAGGTGACCGTGTACGAAGGGGGGAACGAGAGCAGCAGCGTTCATGTATGGATCTGGTCTACAGAAACCTGGAACTGTTTATGACGGGTGAGAAATCCCAGCCAGGCAATACTAATAACAACAACAGCAGCAATAATAATAATATTGCTCCTCCAATGATAATATGTTTATGGAGCAGAAAGCAGCCAGAAAGTGATGTTGGGTTGGAATCAATTGTTGCCTCACAAAATGATCCTTGGTCTACAGAAACCCGGAACTGTTTATAACGAGGGAGAAATCCCAGCTAGGCAATGTTGATAACAACAGCTGCAGCAATAATGTTTTTATGGAGCAGAGAACAGCCAGAAAGAGATGTTGCGGTTGCAAAAATGAATTGTTGGTTTACAAGATGATCCCAGGTCTACAGAAACCTGGAACTGTTTATGACGCGCTCAAAATAACTGAAACTAATTTAAACAAGCAAAACAATGTCCCGGATAGGACTTTGCTTTATTTCACGTGCCGTTTGGATGACAAAACTTAAAAATCTATTTGAAGGAAATATATAATGATGTTTAGAAACACCAACATTCACGGGAATATATTGAACTCCATGACAATTCGTTACTGTGTACTGTATTACTGTTTCTCTGGTTATGTTGATAGTGTTAAATGACGTCTCTGAACAACGTCGTGGTGTCGTTGCAGGATGATCCATGCCGTGGACTGGCTGCCCACCCTGACTGCCGCTGCCGGAGGGACCCCAGGTACAGTAGGGCGTGGCCATTGAGTTAGGTTTGGAAAGTGATGTGAAAACAAAAAGCAAGATACATATTCCTGAAAGTGTGCTCTCTCCAAAAAGAAACGGTGATGTTTAATATTTCAAATATTTTTCAAAATTAGTGTTGGATTGTTATACCTGCGCCATTATAAGGATGGTTTGTGTACATGGAACGAATGCACAGCGCAAACACGCATCTTCGGAAACTTTAATGCACGTTTACGTTCGAAAGTGCCAACTTGCATGAAAATGTTATGGGGACAAAATCGCGCAATGTGCTCGTGCAATTCTGAAGAAACGTGCACAGGAACATTGCCCGTTTCGCATTTAGCCGGTCATTGGCATATGTTTGGCTAAAAGAATGACTGGACAACTGAACAGGGAGGACTCAATTTCAGCTTCGGATATCGTTCCCGTACCGTCGATTGTGATATATGTATGTATGTATGTATGTATGTATGTATGTATGTATGTATGTATGTATGTATGTATGTATGTATGTATGTATGTATGTAGGTAGGTAGGTAGGTAGGTAGGTAGGTAGGTAGGTAGGTAGGTAGGTAGGTAGGTAGGTAGGTAGGTATGGATTGTGATTTGTAAGTTTTGCTAAATTTAGGACCGTTTTATTGCAAATCGCTGGTGATTAGGGCCTTTTCAAGACTGAAACGAATTTAGGATCTTTGTAGCGTAAAATGTCCAAATTTCAGGTTTTTTCAAGACTGTGCGCATCCTGTGGAAAGTATACTTTTTATTGTTACTTTCTGAGCATTAATACATCTTGAAAAGAGTCATTGCATTTCACAATAAGGTATCTGAAATAATTATTTGTAGTGACAGACCGTGACGGCATCAACCTGTGGCCGAGTCTCAGTACATCCTCCCCTTCATCCCGCAATGAATTCGTCTACAACTACGACTCACACCCCTCCCCTCTAGAAGGACACGCGGCCATCAGGTAGGGGTGTGTCATGTTGTAAAGTGTGTACGATGAGACGACAGAACATGTCAACTTGGATTTATCTTAAAAAAACACGTTGTTCTAAAAGATGGGGCAATACGGGAATAGAAGTATGTCCTCAGGACCTTATTGCATACATAATTAATAAAATCTCTGTGACCACTTAAGTCCAACCATACATGACCTATTTGTCAAGCTGTTAGAGTAATCTCCCGTTTTTCCTGTTGAGGTTGGACAGTTTATTTTATTATATGGATCTTTGCAGGGTGGGTGACTACAAGCTGATCGATGGCTACCCGGGGTATTACAACGGCTGGTACAAGTCGGACCAAGACACGTCTAACATAAACATTAATGACATAAGCTTTTGGACCACAAAGTATCAGCTGTTCAACTTGAAAGGTAAATGTGAGCTTGAATGAGAATCTGTGTGTCTCTCTCTGGCTGGCTCTGCTTTCTCCCTCTTGGACTTTCTCATTCTCTGTCACTGTCTCTGTGTCTCTCTCATTCTCTGTCTCTCATTCTCTCTGTCGCTGTCACTCTCATTCTCTATCTGTCGCTGTCTCTCATTCTCTCTCTGTCGCTGTCACTCTCATTCTCTATCTGTCGCTGTCTCTCATTCTCTCTGTCGGTGTCTCTGTGTCTCTCTCATTTTCTTTCTGTCACTGTCTCTGTGTCTCTCTTATTCTCTGTCTGTCACTGTCTCTGTGTCTCTCTTATTCTCTGTCTGTCACTGTCTCTGTGTCTCTCTTATTCTCTGTCTGTCACTATCTCTGTGTCTCTCTTATTCTCTGTCTGTCTGTCGCTATCTCTGTGTCTCTCATTTTCTTTCTGTCACTGTCTCTGTGTCTCTCTTATTCTCTGTCTGTCACTGTCTCTGTGTCTCTCTTATTCTCTGTCTGTCGTCTCTGTGTCTCTCTTATTCTCTGTCTGTCTTTGTCTCTATGTGTCTCTCTCATTCTCTGTCTGTCGTTGTCTCTGTGTCTCTCTTATTCTCTGTCTGTCGTTGTCTCTGTGTCTCTCTTATTCTCTGTCTGTCGCTATCTCTGTGTCTCTCTTATTCTCTGTCTGTCACTATCTCTGTGTCTCTCTTATTCTCTGTCTGTCTGTCGCTATCTCTGTGTCTCTCATTTTCTTTCTGTCACTGTCTCTGTGTCTCTCTTATTCTCTGTCTGTCACTGTCTCTGTGTCTCTCTTATTCTCTGTCTGTCGTTGTCTCTGTGTCTCTCTTATTCTCTGTCTGTCGCTATCTCTGTGTCTCTCTTATTCTCTGTCTGTCGTTGTCTCTGTGTCTCTCTCATTCTCTGTCGCTGTCTCTGTGTCTCTCTTATTCTCTGTCTGTCGCTATCTCTGTGTCTCTCTTATTCTCTGTCTGTCGTTGTCTCTGTGTCTCTCTCATTCTCTGTCGCTGTCTCTGTGCCTTTCTCATTTTTTGTCTGTCGTTGTCTCTGTATCTCTCATTTTCTGTCGCTCTATGTGTATCTAATTCTCTGTTGCTATCTCTGTCTCTCTCATTCTCTGTCGCTGTCTCATTGCCTCTCTCATTTTCTGTCTGTCGCTATCCCTGTGTCTCTCATTTTCTGTCGCTTTCTGTGTATCTCATTCTCTGTCGCTATCTCTGTCTTTCTCTCATTCTGTCTGTCGCTGTCTCTTTGTCTCTGTCATTCTCTGTCGCCGTCTCTCTCTCTGTCGCTGTCTCTATGTCTCTGTCATTTTCCATCTGTCGCTATCTCTGTCTCTCTCATTCTCTGTCTCTATGTCTCTCTCATTATCTCTCTGTCTCCGGGTTAGAACTGGTCTCCTCGTGAGAGGCGACTAACGGGATCAGGCAGTCAGGCTCGCTGGTTGACACATGGTTGACACATGACATCATATCCCAATTGTCTATATCGGTGATCATGTTGTCGATCACCTGATTGTCTGGTCCAGACGAGATTATTTACCGCAGCGGGAATATTGCTGAGTGCGGCTGCAAACAAAAAACATTCTCTGTCTCATTTTCCTTCCCTGATTATCTCTGTGTCCGATTCTTCCCCATTCTGTCTCTTTCTGAACCTATTACCTATTTCTTGTCTGTCGCTCTATTTGTAAGCGCAGATACATGTGAGTCTGTCCCACTGTTGTGTATCGTTTGTTGTCTAGACTCGATTTGTTGATTATACACATATTCGCTTGTGATGTGTCAATTTGTATCAAGCATTAATGCCCACAGATGACCCCACCGAGCACCACGACCTCTCCACATCCCAGCCGGACATGGTGAAGAAGCTTGCTGCTAGATTGGCCTGGTATAAGAAGCAGGCAGTGTCTCCTAACTTCCCTGAGATTCCCGACCCCAAGAGCAACCCTCTGTTGTACGGCAATGTCTGGTCTCCTGGCTGGTGCTGAGAGCTTCATTTTGTGCCGACATTGAATAAAGTTGTTTCTTGAATTGCGGTTGTGGTTGTAGCTATTTTTGGTTTATTCCAGCTATATTGCGGCGGTCTGTAAATAATCCAGTCTGGACCAGACAATCCAGTGATAAACAAAATGAGCATCAATATACGCAATTGGGATACGATGACATGTGTCAACCAAGTCAGCGAACCTGACCACCTGATCCCGTTTGTCGCCTCTTATGAAAAGCAAGGGTTACTAAAGACCAATGTTAACCCTGATCTTCACCGGTATCCAGTATATGAGCTACACGTGTCCCCTGGATGTGTTTTGGGGGAAGGTAAGGGAAAGCAATATGGTCAAGCAAAGAAGAAAGGAGAACTCCTTTTGCCCTAAAGTACCTTGTATTCAGTGTTTAATATTTCGAGAACCTAATATACGTTTCCATCTATTAGGTTTACACAACAGTAGCAAAGGTGTTCGTTGTTCGAACCTGCTAGTGTACGAGTAGCGCGGGAAACAGAACCTGTCTTTCTTGTCAACCCATGCTTGTCGTAATTGGCGCCTAATGGTGATTTTGATATCACCGTTACCTCTAAGGACACTCTTTATAGATATTTTTAAAAATCAATACAATTTGAACAATACTTACTATTACATGATTCTGTCTCTATCCCTATTCTAAGATTCCGTACATGGAATCATAACTTACCCATAACCTTTATGTAAACATGCAACCGAAATGTAATGGGAGATGAGTTTCATTACATCTTTAGATGTGAAGCTCTTCTCCTAACCAGATTATTGTATATTCCCAAACTAAAACTACATTGTCAATACCCAAATGTATATAACTTTTGTAAAATGTTGACACCTAAATGCACTAAAATGTCTGTCTAAATTCATAAATATTTTACAAATCATGTTAAAAAATAGTTCCTACGACGCATGTATTATGTATATAAGATATATGTTTTGTGTTTTGCTTTTGTAGCACCGTAAGTGGTGTTTCAGTGAATAAATATTGATTGATCGATTGATAACTGGATTGTCTGGTCCAGAGTCGAGCATTTACAGACTGCCGCCATATTGCCGTAATATTGCTGAGTATGGTGTTATACAACAAGCCAAAAAGGTCACCCTGAGATGTTGGTCACCGAGATTCCAGCGCGTTTGTTATTAGTGAATGGTCGTTCGTTCATTGTCAACCAAACAACCAGCATTTTGAAACGGTAGAGGATTTACGGTAGTAACAGACTACTCGAACCGCGTCACGAACCGTGTCAGCTGTTGTCAGCTGGTGCTATGGCTAATCTATCACAGAAACACATATTCCTGATATTAAAAAGGCTGACCACACGGTTCCAAGGAATAGGGACATCAGTTTGTGATACTTGTCCATGGGAGCAGTGATGTTTGTCCAGTTGTTATGCACAGTATTGGTCGTCGTCAACCTGTGTAATGGAGTTACTGCAGCAGGACGTCCACGACATATTGTCTTCATCGTGGCGGATGATCTGGGTAAAAATATCTTTAATTATTAAGTATCATTATATATCAGTTAATCAAAGAATATCGGCGAAATTGTTGGTATGATTTCGATATGTGTAGTTTCATCACACTATGACTAAGGAAATCGTTGCTCGTGGTTGTAAAAAGTAGCAGTAATAATTTCTGTATATCATACCTTTCTGAGAAAACATACAGTGTCTAACTTTTCATTCTCGAGTTGATCGAGCAGTACATTTGGACTGGAACTGGCGCTATATAAATCTTTTGATGATGATGATGATGATGATGATGATGACGATGATATCAAATACATATTCCATCATGCACATTACATGTTTGATCCCTGAAGTTCATTCCGGAAAGAAAATGTCGCATTGATCTCTGCACATACCATTTTGTCAGAACAGTTTTGTCATCAGTGAGCCTGTAAACTGATAGATCTGCCAGAATTTTATCTGGGTTGGGTTTGACATCGCTTTCAACAGTTTTCTGTTAGCCAAGTATCGGCTTTATGTATGATGAAACCTGTAGTGATGCGATTAGTAGACGTTTGATAGCCTAGCGGTTAAAGCGTTCGCTCAACACGCCGAAGACTCGGGTTCGATTCCCGTGATAAGCTGGAATATTGCTAGAAGCATACACTCTCACTCACATTTGTCAATCTGATAAGGTGTGTGAAAACCAAGCATATTAGTCGGCTGGAATTAGAGCTAGAACCTATGATGGTTAATCATTCAGCCTTATGAAGAGTCTAGCAAACAATAATAGGACATAATATGTGCGGTTAACAACTCTGACGCCCGTAAATTTGAAAGGAAAACTGATGACGTAATGTAATAATTCAACTTTTGAAACGGCTTTCAGGATGGAACGATATTGGCTTTCATAACCCCGATATGATCACGCCCAATATTGACAAACTGGCAAGAGAAGGCCTGATACTGAATCAATCCTATGTCCAACCGCTTTGCAGTCCGTAAGTAGAAGATGGTGGATCTTGAATCATTCTTATATCCAACCTTTTTGCAGGTCGTAAGTAGCAGAAGGCTTGGTACTGGATCATTCCTATGCCAACCTCTCTGCACTTCGTAGGTAGTGCGTGGTTTAATGCTGAATCATTCTTGTGTTCACCTTGTCTGCAGTGGGTAGGTAGCAGAAGGCTTGACACTGTATCATTCCTGTGTCCAACCGGTCTGCAGTCCGTAAAATGCAGACCGTTTGATACTGAATCAGTGCTATGCCCAACCTTTATGCAGTCCATAACTAGCAGAAGGCTTAAAACTGAATCATTTTATGTCCAACCTGTGGGTATGTAGTAGAAGGCTTGGTACTAGTTTATTCCTATGCCAAAGTGTTCTGTGGTATCTATTCCCAATTCATTGCTATTCCTAATTCATATTTGTATTCATTGTTTGGTTTCAGCGTGTTCCATATTTTCCTTTGTGTCGAATAGAGGATGACTCGAAGTATTTACATAGTTCCTTTCAGCTTCGATACAACGGTGTATGAAAGTAAAATATATATCTTTAGGACGATATAATTGACACTGCTCTTTCATTTCCTCTTTCATTTCTAACTTGGTAGGTTGCATTTTGCTGTAAATAGTGGAATGACGTGACCGCTATAAGTCTGTTTGGGTCAAAACGATACCGATGAATTTCAATCTAACTCCAAGTTTTGATACACCCCCTAAATGTTGACATTTTAAGCTGCTGCACGTGTTTCCCGCCCTTGAAGCTGTTCCTGCAACTGTAATTTACCCTCGTAAAACTCCCACGGAAAATCAAAACAAAATTATGATAGTTTCGTAAGTAACTCTTATATTTTGGAGACAAACGTTAGGAATCCTTTTCCAGAGTTAGTCTGATGTGTTCATTACATTCTGCGTTGAAATGAATGTTTGATCATGAACCGATGTGGAGTTTGATTGCGATTCATCAGTATCATTTTAATATATATCCTCTAGAAACATTATTAAAATATGCTTAGAAAATATGCTCAGCTTCATGTGTCTATTATTCAGGTACATTTGTACGATTTAACATATACAATTCAACGCAAAAAATATTCCACCTTCGACAGATGACCACATGAGATGCACATATTTAATAAACGTGGATATATATCTATGTATACATACATGTGCTCGCATGCAGCAACCTATTTCATCCCGTCTATGAGAGTACAGATACAACGAGCTGATGTATATAAAACATTATCAACCATGACGGACATCATATTGATGAGTTTTGGTAGTACGTAGTGTAGTGTAACGTACATGTATATATACTCTCCCAAAAGAGAAACGCATATAGGAATTTCAGGTGTATTTTTATGTTTATTTTGAAACGTCTTGTAGGCTTTATGAGTCAATGAAATATAGCGAAATTGCACACTGGGAATGCCGACTTATCCGTCTTTGGCACCAACTCGAGGAAAGTCAGTTTGAGTGTCACATGGAGACGTGTGGTGGCGCTGAAGTCAATACCTCGTGTGACCACCGTGGGCATCCAGAACTGCACGGCATCGCCTCGGCATCGAACGAATAAGTCTCAAAATCTCGTGTTGCCCAATCGCAGCCCACTCTGCCTGTAGTGCCTGTGCGAGTTGCTGAAGTGTCTGGGGCTGAGGGTTACGGCGTCGCACCCGTCTGTCCAGGGCATCCCACAGATGCTCGATCGGGTTTAAGTCCGGTGATCTTGAGGGCCAGGGGAGCACATTGATGTTGTGGTTCTGGAGGAAGTCTCTAGTGTGACGTGCTGTGTGGGGCCTGGCATTGTCCTGTTGAAACAACTCCCTCTGGCGATCAATGATTGGAAGGAGGTGTGGGCGTAGGATTTCGTCACATACCGTTGAGCTGTCATGTTGCCCTGGATCATGACCAAATCACTTCTCCTACGGCAGGCGATCTCCCCCCACATCATAACACTTCCCCAGCCGAATCTGTCCACCTGGGGAACGCAAGCGTCGGCGAAACGTTCACGTCGACGTCTATACACCCGCATTCTTCCATCGCGTCGTTCCAATAGAAATCGTGATTCATCACTGAACCAGATTCTACGCCAATTCGGTAGGTTCCAGGCCTGAACGTTGGTGCACCATTGAACTCGATGTCGACGATGTTGTTGTCGAATCACAGGGCCAAAATAAGGTCTTCTGGCACGTAAACCAGCCTCTCTCAACCTGTTCTTGACGGTGTGTGCAGAAAGCATCCTCAATCCGGGTATTTGTCGAGCGGTACTGGTCGCCGTAGCTGTTCGATGACGCAGGTGATGTACCCGGATGTAGCGATCCTGCGCCGCAGTGGTCGCTCGAGGTCGCCCACTACGAGGGGCATCTGCTACCGCATTCTGCCGGCGATATCTCTCCCAGAACCGTGAAATGGTGCTTTGGTGACCAATGAACCAATGACGATATGACGGTTGGCTTCACTTAGACGTGGCATTTTGCGTTCGTCAACAATATTCCAAATACAGTGAATAATCGACAGACAGCAATCAACCTTTTATACCCATCATTGAAACTATCTGATCCCCAACTTTCACGTGCATTGCATGTGAATTGAGTATTCTGTGACACTACACGCCGAAATTGAAAATCATGCTGTTAAATACGGGTATTTTACGGATGATGCGTTTTGTTATGATGTTTCAAAACATAAACACCATAGGACTCATAAACAGAGCAAAACCTTTTGTAAAATGAATCACGTTTTAATTCATTGCTACATGAAATTGCTATTTTCATCATGCGTTTCTGTTTTGGAAGAGTATATTAGTTCCAGAAGACAATAGTTGTTGACAAATGTCATGTCAGCACACGTGAGAAAATTAATATTAACTGAAATAATGTGGCACGTCATCACACTTTGTACATGGTGGAACAGAAATAACGACATGTTTGACAATAATTTTTTCCAAAAAACAGCTAGAGCATCCAATCTTTGATCAATTTGAAAAGAAAAATCATTATATGAACAGAGGGTTAGTTGATCTTTACGGAAGCGTAGTAGGGCCATGGTGAAATATATTTGGTGTCACCATCTCCTACGTAGGACATACTAAGGAGATTGAACAAAATTCCACCGAGGCCCTACAACGCTTCCGTAGGTCGTAAATATTAGTTTATAATCTTTAGAACACGTAACGTAAAACTGTTGTTATTATCTTGTCTGTATATTGCCAATTGTGTCGTATGATGTTGTTTTTGTTTCAAATCATAATTTCGAAATGATTTAAAATATGATTAGGATTGTGAAAGACATTGGTTTTAACAAATAAATAGACATTACCAATTATTTTATCAAAATGGTTGGTTATTGTTCTATTCTCTGTTTACGATGTGTTGTAGTGTCATGATCTAATTCAGAATTGATCTTCAGTAACCCATGCTTGCTGTCAGAGGCGACTAACGGGATCGGGTGGTCAGCCTCGATGACTTGGTTGACACATGTCATCGTATCTCAACTGCGTAGATCGATGCTCATGATGTTGATCACTGGATTGTCTGGTCCTGCCTCAATTACTTATAGACCGCCGCCATATAGCTGAACTATTGGTGAGTGCGGCATCAAACTAAATTCACTCACTCACTCATTCACTATACTTCGAAGCAGTATTGTGCTTAATATCAGCAATTGTCTGACTCACAGTAACTGAACCATAAAACGTTTTTTATTTTTTATTTCGCAGAGCACAGTCTGAACGGTTAAACACCCACATGGAGTAATTCTAGATTTCCTTAGGTTCTCAAGCTCATATCGCATTGCGGCTCCCTTCAATGTAAACGGAGTTACTGATCTGTGTCCAAGTTATATATACACATGAACAAATGTATCGCAACTTCCCATATTTTTCAAAGTACAAATATGATAATATTAACCGTAGCAAATGTACTTATCCAAACCTCAATTTAACCTACTGTCTGCATACACTGACCCTCGAGAAATATATAAATGGAAAGTCTCTGTGTAAATAAGGAAAGAACGAAACCTGTAGTTTATTCAGAGCGGCAGACATTATAAACAAATACTAATAACTACGATCATTTTCACGATTCTGAAATACAATCCTCACTAAATCACGTAGGTATCAATAACGGAGCACTATGTCAATATCTGGTGTAACCTCGGCCAACTGTAACAACAGCCTCGCTGACTTGGTTCACACATGTCATTGTATCCCAATTCTGTAGATCGATGCTCATGCTGTTGATCACTGGATTGTCTCGAATATTTACAGACCGCCGTCATATAGCTGGAATATTGTTGAGTGCGGCGTTAAGCAAAAAAACAAAACAGACCACGTCCCCGAAACTGCTACGACATTGCAACGTTGAACTTAACGTCCCCAACGCTGCAGTCGATGTTAGGTCAACGTCATTACTCTGATTGGCCGAAAGGCTCTGACGATTGATGGATGTAGAGTGGAGTCGCTGCTGCTGATACTGCAATGATAAATCTGTTGGTGCAGGGTCTTTAGACAACTTTCACTTCCTTATTTGGCATTTATGAAGCAGACCTTTCATCTCTGGTTCTGCCAGCCACACTGTATCATGGTTTTGTGACGTTCAAAGTGTCCAGTCAAATCTTCCTGTGCTTACATTGTATATGGAGAGAACGAAAGCTGACTTATATCTAATTATATATTTCATACACGCAGGTCGAGAAGCGCCTTTATGTCCGGCTACTACCCCTTTAAGACTGGCCTGCAGGTGAGTGACCAGCTGAAATAGAATCAAGAAAATACTAGATTCTGATTGGTTGTTCAGAAAAATCAGACGGCATCAATTGTGGATTGACGCTCATCTGATTGTAAGGCCGCTTCACCGCGCATTGACAAATCTTATTGTGAGATGTCCTGACATGTGTCTCACATGGGCCAATAGATATCGGTGGTAACAAGTTTCGTTTTATGTACTGGCCAATAGATACCCGTGCTATTTAGTTGAGAATCAGCTACTGACCAATAGACAACCGTGATGTCCTGACATGTGTCTCACATGGGCCAATAGATACCCGTGCTATTTAGTTGAGAATCAGCTACTGACCAATAGACAACCGTGATGTCCTGACATGTGTCTCACATGGGCCAGTAGATACCCGTGCTATTTAGTTGAGAATCAGCTACTGACCAATAGACAACCGTGATGTCCTGACATGTGTCTCACATGGGCCAATAGATACCCGTGCTATTTAGTTGAGAATCAGCTCCTGACCAATAGACAACCGTGATGTCCTGACATGTGTCTCACATGGGCCAATACATACCCGTGATATTTTAGTTGAGAATCAGCTACTGACCAATAGACAACCGTGATGTCCTGAAATGTGTCTCACATCGGCCAATAGATACCCGTGCTATTTAGTTGAGAATCAGCTACTGACCAATAGACAATCGTGATGTCCTGAAATGTGTCTCACATGGGCCAATAGATAACCGTGGTATCTAGCTGGATGTTTGGTACTTGCTAACAGAAACCCGAGTCACCCGGTGGATTTTAGGTACTGGCTAATAGATAACCATCGTACCCAGGTGGGTTTAGGTAATTGACCAATAGAAAACCGTCGTATCCAGGTGGGTTTAGGTACTGGCCAATAGAAACTATGGTACCAGGTAGGTTTAGGTACTGGCAAACGAAAACCGTAGTACCCAGGTGTGTTTTAGGGGCTTTAGGGATTTAAGTCTCAGTGAATTGCTCGCCAATAGGCAGCTCCATGTTCAGATTTGAGTCTCAGGCTAGATGACAGTTAAATGTGGTACCCACTAATGTGTCACATGCATTGCAATAGATACCGTGGTGCCTGTGGAGGTAAAGAAAGAGAAAAACATATTTATTACTTCGCTTTATTTTACAGCACATGGTCATTCTGAACTACCAGCCTGTATGTCTACCTCTCAACATCACGATCCTGCCACAGAAACTGAAGGAACTTGGCTATGCCACACACATTGTCGGCAAGTAGGTGAACTGGAGGAATCCAAGGGCGTTGTTCATGTAGACATGACAAGTTGTAGCAACAGGCAGAGGGAGAATTGTTCCATGTGGCAATATATTGGTAATATTACGACGATGACACAAGAATGGGTTTTACTCATTGTGCTTATGTAGGGGAATGGAACACGGGTCTTCGGCGTGACGAGCGAACGCTTTACCCACAAGGCTACCCCACCACCCGACATTGTAGTAGTAGAGTGACTATAGTTTTACGGCGCGTTTAGCAATATTCCAGCAATATTCACCAGAAATGGGTTGTAGTAGCAGTAAACAAGCGGGTCCATTATTTCTGGTGTCACCGTCACAATTTCAGTATAAGATGCATTTTGTAGTAGCAGTAGCAAATGCAGCAGAAAATATAGTACTAGCAGTCTTATAGGTAGTAGTAGTACTAGAAGTAGTAGTAGTAGTAGTAGCAGCAATAGTAGTAGTAGACGTAGGGTTGGGAATATTGTTGGGGATGGAGTTGGTTTATCACAGTTGTTGGTAGTAGTAGTAGTAGCAGCAGCAGTAGCAGCAGCGGCAGTAGTAGTAGTTGTTAGGGATGGAGTTGGTGTTAACATCTACTGACAGTGTCCCTGTCGTTTGGTAGGTGGCACAATGGCTTCTGCAGCTGGAACTGCACCCCGACGTACCGCGGCTTTGACAGCTTCTTCGGCTACTACAACGCACAAGAAGACTACTACACCCACATGACCGCTGGCTTCTTGGACTACCGCAACAACACCAGCCCCGAGAAGACAGAGAACGGAACTTACTCAACGGTAACATATTTGTTTTAAACAAGAACTATACGGTTTTCAATATCATTTCTTCCGGTCATCATAACCATGTCAGCTATGTAATAAATGAAAACAATGGTATAAATAATATTAATGTTTGGTTATCTTCCAGTTCCGGTTCACAGATGTTGCCACCAACATCATTCAACGCCATGACAAGAGTCAGCCTTTGTTTCTCTACCTCCCCTTCCAAGCTGTCCACGCACCTATTGAGGTAAATACTCTCTTCTTTCGCTCTTCTTCCGGTGAAGCAAGACTCTTCCCACTCACCTACCCAGAGATCCATTCCACCTAACTATCGCAGTTGTAGAAGAATATTTATGTAACAATGTAAAACATGACGTAGAGCGCGCCGAAAAGCTTGCCTTAGGCCACTCTCTTCTTATTCTATAAATATGCGCGTTTGTTAAACAAACAAGAGAAAAGTTCGGTCACCATATATTTAAATTAGCCTGTTGCAGTGATGTTATGCAGTGCGGACTGTTGCTCATTGCTTATTCCTGGCGTAACCGGAAGCTGGCCATTCAAAGAGCAGAGATTAGACCAAGCAGAGGGAACACGTCCAGCGGTTTCAGTAAAAATAGGGGACAAAATAAGTACAAATTTCCACCATATCCGGTTATGGCTTAGCATGCGTACCGCCCTTCATTTAGGGTGTGCTTAAGCGTGAAGACAAGTCCACGCCAAATATGTTTGCTAGGGTGATAAAACTAGCATCTATCTTTCCGTTTTCATATTGTTTGAGCGAAAACACTTTTACTTGACAAACAAACTCTACGAAGTCCGCTTTTTGTGTTCATTTGATACATTGGACCAATGAAATGTTATGTCAAATATCGTCCACTCGACCTTACCACCGCCTGTCTACTCATTTAAAAATCATGATTCTTATTTCGAAGGTCCCCGCACAGTATGAGGCAATGTACCCGAACATTAAAACAGAAGATCGCCGAAAGTTTTGCGGTACGTACGAAGTATCTATGTCGACATTACACTTACAGGTACCCTTTCGTGATCACTCGTATCTTGCCAGAATGAGATGGTCGCAAGTTACGGAACGGACGTAAGAAAAGAGTTACGTTAGGACGTAACCATAGAATGCCGACTAAATGAGTTGAAGGATAGGATGATGTTAGTTCGATCGAGTGACACGTGCAAAACACATCAACAAACATGTTTTAAAAGAATAAAGCAGGCTGCATAGACAAATGTTATTTCGGACACATATTTCTCAAATTAAAGATTGCGGTAGCACTTATATTTGATACTAATTATTTGTATTTTTAGTAAAATGTAAAGTGATACGAGAGGGAAACTTATTATTTATTAATATTGTTTTTAATTTCTTATTTTTTATTTCTGAGTGAGTGAGTGAGTGAGTATGGTTTTGCGCCGTTTGCAGCAATATTCCAGCAACCTCCCCACGGGCTGAACACATTGTACACATGTGGGGAATCGAACCCGTGTCTTCGGTGTGACGAGCGAACGGTTTAACCACTGGGCTACCCCACCGCCGCCCACACTGAACTATAACACAGGGTCGTTGTCAAGCCGTTCATGTTACGGATAACCAAGTATACTTCAAACGACGCACGAAATTTGAAACAATATGAGTACTTAAAAATTATGATAACCGACAGGCAAAACTGAACGATATTAAAAAAAACCTTTTCATCCTAATGCATATGAGGATAGCGAAAGAAGGCTTATTGTTTATATTTTGCTGAATTGTGCTCAGGGATGGTCTCGGCTCTCGACGAAGCAGTTGGTAACATAACCAAAACGTTGACGGACAGTGGGCTAATGAACGACACGCTGATTCTGTTCACTGCTGATGTAAGTACAAGTTCTAGCGGTGTTAATCCCAGTAATAAAATATCAACACGTCCTATATTTTCTTACAACGCACCAACAAATAACTTCGAACAAATTTACAAAAAGGCAAGACATTTAATGAAAAGAGCGCCAACTTATTGTGATTTGATTGTTCATGTAATTTCAAGCATTGTTGCACTATGAATGGAGCTTGTGTGGTCTGGGGCACTTCGCTATGCAGAATTGCCTCCCTTTGCAGGATCTTTGTATGGCGCTAAAAGTCTACCTGTCACGTTACCATTTCCGTCCTCTCGGGTACCCGTTTATTGCGAGGCTAACAGAGACATATTTCGCGCAAAGTCACTTGCATATGCAGCCACCGTATGTGCCACAACTGCTTCAAACTATACCCTAACAAGCACTCAGGGTGCTCGCTATCGAACGCAATCCCCCAACCAACCACTCTGCGCCACATCAAACCACATCATTTGATTTGAAAACCCCAAGTTGCATTATTTCATATCAATGAAAACCTCCTCAAAGTATTAAACCCTTTTTTTGTGTCTCAATCTTGTTCAGAATGGTGGCTGGATTACCGAACACGGGAATAACTACCCGCTGCGTGGAGGCAAATTTACTGTGTACGAAGGAGGGACGAGGGCAGTGGCGTTCATGTATGGATCAGGTCTCCAGAAAACTGGAACTGTGTTTGACGGGTAAACAACCACGAAATCACAATCGGTCAATGAAAAACAGACACATGAACCTATCCCAGTCAACGGCGTGACGAGCGCACGCTTTAACCACTTGGCTACCTCAAATTGCTCAATTTCTTGAAGCCAGTGTTAATTTTGAGGTTCATGTTGATGCTGATGTTGACGTTGTCCTATGATCATGTCGTTGCAGATTGATCCACGCCGTGGACTGGCTGCCCACTCTGACTGCCGCCGCCGGAGGGACCCCAGGTACAGTAGGGCGTGGCTGTTACGAGGGTGACGGTAGTCTATTCATACATGAGCATTTGGTTCAACACAGCTTGGCATGCGTCATATTTAGGGGCGAGTCCGAACAATGTCGGGGATAAGGTCCACTTAGTTCAGAAGATATTACCGGGATTTCCCGTATTTAATCCCTGGGCTTAATAACGGAAAATGGCCCTTCTCGTTCACAAATAAAAAACCCATAATTAAGGCCAGGGCTTCAATTCATGGAAATGCTTGTAACTGAAGTAAATGATTCTAAGACACGATAAAATGGAATGAACTTTGACATAAACGGAAACCTGAACCTTAGACAATCATTTAAGAACTGTCTTAAACCTCAACTTGAATGACACCCCCTCTTTCATATTTACATACTTTACTGTTCTTGAGGAACGTGTCCTATGCTATTATCACATTTTATTGCGACTGCGTGTGAGTCATATAGATTGAGGTTGTCTATATGGTTATAGAGTACCTGACCTCTCTTGGAACTGCACTACAAACGCGCACTACAAACGTTATAAAAGCTGACGTTTGCCATGTGACGTCACTCTAAACAATTAAATCTGTAATCTTATTTTAGGTCCATGACCTTAATAACGAAAACAAATCCCGTCATTAAGCCTATGGGCGTAATTATGAGTGGGCTTAAATACGGGAAATCCCGATAGTCGTCCGGAGGACCTGTGAAGATCAAGGTTAAAACTGCTCTTTAACAAGCTACCCGTAAGAGGCGACTAAGGAAATCGGGTGACCAGACTCGCGGACGTGGTTGACGCATGTAATCGCATTCTACTAGTAATTGCGAACATCGATGCGGATCACTGGATTGTCTGGTTCAGAATCGATTATTTACAGACCGCCGTCATATTGCTGAAAAGTTACCGTGTGTGGCGTTCACCAGCAAACCCAAACTGTCATCGTGAGTGAGTAAGTTTCATTTTTACGCCGTTTTTAGCAATATTCCGGCAATATCTAGACAGGGGACACCAGAAATGGGCTTCACACATTGTACCAATGTTGGGAATCGAAATATTTTAGCTTCACGCTGAAGACCCGGGTTCGATTCCCACATGGGTCTCAAGTGTGAAGCTCATTTCTAGTGTCCCCCCTGTGATATTGCTAAAAGCGGTGTAAGACTCAACTCACTCACTCACTCCAAAATTATACAATCAGGTCCTCTCACATGAACACATGCTGAGGATACAGTCACATTTAGCCATGAACTCCACTCTGAACAAACGTATATATAAGATAAAGGAAAACATGTTGTAACTTTTATTTACTATTAATAACATGTCGAAGCTCGATAAAATATATAGAAGAATTCACGGTAGATGTCATGCAGGGAGATCCGGGGTAGAATAGGTCTTCAGCAACCCATGCTAGTCGTAAAAGGCGACTAAGGGCCTATTCGATTATGCTAAACCGGTTTGGGTTTCTGGAAAACCATGCACTCGATTATGTCGAAACCAAAAACTGGGTTCTGAAACTTCGAAACCATCTCCGAGGCAGGTTTCGCAGTTTCGGTTTCGCGTTCTCTCATAACAAACATGGCGGAAACCACCACGTTGAGCTGCATTTGCAGGCGCCAAGGTCAGCTGACCTTTGTGGCAATATAGAGCAGCAGTTTCTGTGACCAAAATAATGAAAAAAATTAAATGAGAACTAGGAAAATATTATTCAAAACCCAAGCCTACTGAACATGACGTTTTTATGTAAATTGTATACATATAATTACTTGTAACAGTATAATTACATATACCCAAATATTTGCCCCCAAAACATCTCTTTATTATTTGTTAATTCACTGATAACATAACAAAAAGATATGCTGCAATCCAATTCGTTCAACACATACAGTAGCTGGGACATTTTTGGGGTATCCATTTTGAAACCGGATGGTGAAACCACCCACTCGTTTATAAAACTAGAAACTAGTTTCACTTTGAAACCATGTATCCGAAACTAGACACTCGTTTGTAACAGGGGAAACCAGTTTCAGAAACCAAAACCAGTTTCGCAATAATCGAACAGGCCCTTAAGGGATCGCATGGTCAGGCTCGCTGACTTGGTTGACACATGTCATCGGTTCCCAATTGCGCAGATAGATGCTCATGTTATTGATCACTGGATTGTCTGGTCCAGACTCGATTATTTACAGACCGCCGCCATATAGTTGGAATATTGCTGAGTGCGGCGTAAAACTAAATGCAGGGAAGTCGTTACCACTCGGATGAATGATGCTCTCTGTATTTGAAAAATGATTTGATTCTTGAAGCAAGGAACTGGTGTTATTTTGTATTTTGTATGACAATGGATATAATTTCACGCCAACCCGTTCAGTGTCAGACCGTGACGGCTTCAACCTGTGGCCCAGTCTCAGCTCGGGTTCCTCGTCCCCTCGTACTGAGGTCGTCTACAACTACGACTCACACACCCTCCCCACTGAAGGACATGCCGCCATCAGGTACGTTGATGTTCACGTTGACGAAAACAGTTGGTAGTCTTTACGAAGCCACTTAACACGTGCATGAAATTTCTTTCTTGGAAAAATATGTTTTTCTTCAGTTCAATGTTTGTAAAGGTTGAATTCGACTCAGTGAAATATACACACTTCCCTGAAGTATTCAATGATGAATGCATTTTGTACGTGGAAAGTGTCACATTTGTATTAAACGTTGTCAGATATTAAGGCTTTGAGCTATATTCGATTTTAAAATATATTGGCTGGGATCACATTCGGACCTCGCTTATCCGAACACTTATCAAATACTGTCCGGATAAACGAGTTTTTGGACATTTGTATCCCTTTCCCTCCCCAAATGTTCTGCAGACATAAGAAGAAACCACCAAGAAAACCTCTATTACAAAACATAAAATGTTACTTGAGTATCGTACATATTTAACAGCTACCTAGTATCAGAGGGGTACACCAAGTCAGTGATCCGTGATCCAGATTACCAGTTGTCCAACTTCCATTTTTGTCGAAGCCGCGGTGGCTGAATGGGTTAGGCGGCTGATTTTGTGTGCTAGCGATTAGGTGCCTGAATCTGGGGGCATGGGTTTGAATCTCGAATGGGACTCAACCCAACAAAAATACTAGAATGGGTGCTTCATGAAAAAGTGTAAACCCAAATAAAAGCTATCTTCGAGCCCAGCCACCCGATCCCGTTAGTTGTATCTTACGACAAGCACGGGTTGCTGAAGACAAATTCTAAACCAGATCTTCCCGGGTTGCGTTGGAATAAGGTCGGAGTGATAGCCTTGTGGTTAAAAGCGTTCGCTCGTCACGCCGAAGACCTGGTTCGATTCCATACATGGGAACCCGTGAACCCATTATTGGTGTCCCTTGTAGTAATGTAGGTGGATTATTGCTAAAAGGGCGTAAATCCACACTCAATATTTAGAATAAACCAGTTTCAGACGAAATGCGGTTTGCATGTATACTGTAATGTTCAAAGTAAGCAATCCTCGAACTCTTTGCAGGGTTGGTGACTATAAGCTGATTGATGGCTACCCGGGCCTCTACACTGACTGGTACAAGCCGGAACAAGTGACCTCTGACCTGAACCTCACCAACATCAAGGACTGGGCCACAAAGTATCAGCTGTTCAACTTGAAAGGTAAATGTGGCATGGAATGAGGGTCTGTCTCCTGAGATCTGTCTGGTCTGTCTCCTGAGATCTGTCTGGTCTGTCTCCTGAGATCTGTCTGGTCTGTCTCCTGAGATCTGTCTGGTCTGTCCCTGCAAGACGTTCTCATTGTCTCTGTCGCTATCCTTAGGTCTCTTTGTCTTTGTCCGTCAGAGGCTGTCGGGTAGCCTTATGGTTAAAGCGTTCGCGCGTTCATGCTGAAAATCCGGGTTGGAGTGACCTCCAACATGAACCTCACTAACATCAAGGATTGGGCCACAAAGTATCAGCTTTTCATCTTGAAAGGCAAGAAACATACTTCACGGATATATATTTGTTCACTCAGACGAATGTTTTTCCCTGGAATGGTTAGCAAATACATATGAATATAATATCGTTCCTTGGATTTTCCAAGTCTGGAGACGTATATTGGCGGCATCATGACTTGGGCAAACGGATTTCACCCTTTTATCTGATTAAGTGAGTTCAGTTTAAATCGCTTTGAACAATATTTTCTGTTACATCCCCGCGATCCAGCCCAAGACGAAAGTCGAGTGACATTTGGGAAACCCAGGAATGGGCACCGACTGACAGACCATTGACAGGCTGTTTCCCATATTGGATCCAGCAAAATATCACTCACATTATCCATGCTTCCACAGTTGATAAGACAGAAAGATAAGCCTTCACTTACAGCTCCAAATATCAAGGCCTGGGTACAATTTGAGCAGTCACCCTTTATTCATCCTGAATGAAACACTTTGGCTGAAAATTGAATTAATTTGAAAATCGGTGAAATGTTTAAGAACGAGTAAGAAGCCCTGGGCCATTAGTTTCGAAACGTTCGTAGCCCTAAGAATTCTTACTTTGATCGTAGCCAATGTGTTAAGAGTGGGTTTAAGAGAGTTCGTAGGACTACGAATGTTTCGAGAACAGATAGCCAGATCTGCATTCTGAGAGAGATCCACCGATAAAATCGTTATCCTGGCATAATGGTATTATAGAGTAGCGCAGAGACAATACGTCAACTATTCCTTTCAAGACTTACAGAGAATATAAGGGCATAATTTTTTATGTGTTTCACGTAGCCACCAAATTCTGATCATGGGTCGGTCTGTCGGGAATAAATTATAAAAAAAATAATTTAAAAAAATGAATAAAGACAAAATTATCTGAATAATGTTCCTGATTATCATTTATTGTAATTCTTATAATAAAATTAGAAGGGCCGGGCGATGACAAAAATAAAAATAAATGCTGCCCTAACCGGATGTATGTGTGTTTACAGATGACCCCACCGAGCACAACGACCTGTCCACTTCTCACCCAGACATCGTAAAGCAGCTTGCCGCCAGACTGGCCTGGTATGAGAAGCAAGCGGTACCACCAAACTACCCATTACTTCCCGACCCCAAGAGCAACCCTCAGTTGTATGGCAATGTCTGGTCTCCTGGCTGGTGCTGAGAGCTTCTTGTTATACGAGCATGGAATACAGTCATTACATCGATGTGTGTTTTGTGTTTCAAGTATATGTAGTTTGGGTATGGTTCATGGGGTTGATCATCTGTTTCAAAAGCAAGCGTTCAGCATAACGGGAAGGCAGGCATTATGTAACTGTTTTCCCAGAGATGTAACCATTTGTGTACTAGAATTACTAGTGTACTAGGAACTAGAATTAGAATAGGTCTTCAGCAACCCATTCTTGTCGTAAGAGGAGAATAATAAGCAACATTGCGGAATGCTGCGTTAAAACAAAAACATTTCACTTGCTTAATCCCACACCCTATGCGTTTGTTAGGGTTCACAAACCTGATGAAGGTTGAGAACACATCCAGAGCTGAGATGGGTTTGTGACCGCAAGTGTGACTGGGAGTTTCTTGGACTTTCGATTCTGTCCACCAGACCAAACAGATGGTCCAGAACTCTGTAAATCTATGGATAATTTGCCTGGTCAGGCAGAAATTTAACACTCATGTTGCTTGAGAACTGTGATAACTGTGTATTCAGAGTTTTGGTTTACTCATCCTTCTGTAATTGTACAAAGTGACTGCATTTTCACTGGCTAAAGGTCCATGGAAGAATACAATTTTAAATCATATGTATTGCCTACCAATCAGTCTACAATATCTTCAAACACTTACAGCAGTGTATTAAACTTCCAGAACCTTTGTTCAGCTGACAAAATTCTTTCTGTATCTCCCTCACATTTGGTGCCAGATCCTTCAAACTTCAACCACTCTGCTGCTGTGCTATGTAACTCTCTTCCCCTTCATCTCAGAAGTGCTCCTTCCTTGACTACTTTTATACATCTGGCCTAAAGACCCATCTGTTTAATAATCACTGACAATTGTTCATCTTTTTATTTGTATGCACTTAGAGCATGCCCTGTTCAGTGTGGAGTTCAGCACCATATAAGTGTCCGTAATATTTCATTTTCCACAATTACAATGGTACTTTTCAGTTAAAAGCCAAACTATAACACAAGTGAACAATTATGAAGGTACAGCTTTTATTGTCACATTTGAATTGAATGCTCTTTGAAAGATGATTTGTATTATGGAAGGAGATAAGAATCATAATGATCAGAATTTGATTTCATCAGTTGAAACACCCAAATCAGCCTACAAACTACATATAATTATATGTACACAAAAGAAGAATTTGTAGACTTCTTTCTTCAAAGGAAACCACCAATTACCATGAGCCTTTGACTGGCTGCAGAGAATCCAGCCTTTGACTTTATAATACAGAGATCTTTTTCACAGTTAACTTCATGAGACACATAAGTTCACAAGTCACACAAGACACATACCTTATATAAACATTATCAAACAAATAGGGTACAAGAAAAATCACAGACTCATTTATGGTAACATAAGCACTGTTTGCTGAGGGTTCTTCAGAAGCAAATAACACACTCATTTTATGGTCACATAAGCACTATTTGTTGAAGGTTCTTCACAAGCTATGCCCTCAGATGTAATTCCTTTGACACTAGGTGAAACATTCAGCTTGGACGTTGTGTCCTTGGCAGTGTCCAAGAAACTCTTGAATTTTGATGAGCAGCCCAACTCTGACAGGATCAACAGACTCAGGGTATTAACATGGGTCCTCTCCAGAAAGACATCTTGGTGCAACCATGTTAATCTCACGCTTTGGTCAGTTCAAGGTGTTTCAGAAAGCGATTAGTGTGTCGATCATTACACCAACAGTTTAGTTTATGATTTATGAAGGCCCTAGTGCAAAGACTGAGAAATAAGGTGTGTTCTAGAAAGCACTCTTGGTGATACAACAAGCAACTCTCATACTTTAACACAGACTTAGGTGAATGCAGGCTTTTCCTGAAATTCATCACACTGCAGCATGGATCATAACAATGGTATACGATAGGTATAGAGCTAAGACCTCTGTGCGGTATGCGGTACTGTTTCCCTCAGCACTAAGTACCCAACTATCAGAGGACTCTAATACTTCCGTTAACAATGATTTACAATAGATGCAGGGCTAAGACCTCTGTCTGAAAAAAGATAGTGTTTCCCTCAGCACTAAGTACCCAACTATCAGAGGACTCTAATACTTCCGTTAACAATGATTTACAATAGCTGCAGGGCTAAGACCTCTGTCTGAAAAAAGATAGTGTTTCCCTCAGCACTAAGTATCCAATTATCAGAGGACTCTATTACTTCAATTAACAGTGATTTACGATAGCTGTAGTGTTGAAACCAATCTGTGAATGAAGTAGTGTTACCCTCAGCACTAAATACCCAACTATCAGAGGACTCTAATATTTGAATTAATAATGATTTCAGATAGACATGTCGCTAAGACCACTGTGTATCCAATTATCAGAGGACTTTAGTATTTAAATAAACAATGATTTACGAACTGTATGATAGCTGTTGTGCTAACGCCTCAGTGTTATGTGGTAGTGTTTCGCTCTGCACCATGTATATAAGTATCAGAGGACTCTAATACTTCAGTCAACAATGATTTATGTAGTGCTAAAACCATTCTGCGAAATGAAGTAGTGTTACCCTCTGCAATTAGCACCTATCAGAGCACTCTGGACCATCTATCCCTGCACACAAACAGCCTGTCCAATGATCCGGGAATGTCAGTGTAACTCTACACACACACTCATATTGAGGTATAGTGTTCCTCAGCACACTGAAACACAGCCCGTCTCAAGAGGCCAAATCCTGATGCATCTTGAGCGCCATGGCCTGGAGAGCTGAGTCGGAGTGGATCTCCAACGCCTGGAGGATGTTGGCCAGAGCTTCTCCATGCTGACCCTCGAGATACAAAGTCCTAGAACGAAGAAGGTGTCATGGGTTCAGTCTCATTTCTTTATTCCTTGGTTTACAGATTCCCCATTGCCAAGCCAAATTAATGACTACAGGGAAAATTAAATAGCAGGAAAGTCATTTTGCTGTGTCTAATATGGAAATGTTATGACTGTTACTGACATGCCCATCTTGGACATTAGCAGTTAAACTAAAGAAGAATGTGTGCACCTTTCTTTACTGTTTAAAACAGAATATTTATGTCTATTAGATAGTTGAAAAGTTGGTCATGTGTTACATGTGATTTAACTGAACCAATACACTCTTGAATGACATCTTAAAAAAGATGTTGTTTACAAAAAATGAAAATATTTTATCACTACCACTTTGTTCCTGAAAAGTAATAAACTCTGTATATAGCTTAAAAAATGTTGTGGTTCCGATTACACCTCTTTATTATTTAGGGTAGGTAGGTTGAATTTTTAATATTTTTTTTACGTATTCATTTTGGAAGTAAAGTACAAACTAATAACACATTTATTTTAGTGTAATTGTTTATTTAATCAAGCTTGCGGTCTATCAGAATGACCGATATCTGTTGGTGCCGGGACAAAAACAATGGGATCTGAAAGCATATTTTATTCATTCCGCTTAAAAAAATTGGGTCGGCACCAGAATTCAAGGGTCGGTCGGGTAATCGGAACCACAACATTTTTTTTTAGCCCTTATATGGATGTCCCACCTTGTTGTTGATCACTTGAAAGATAAATCTACCCACACCTGTACAAATACATTGCTTTAGAGAGAAAAATTGTGGAAACCTCTAAACTATGTATTCATCAAGACACCAGCCTCTTAACGCCGCTCAAATATACCGACCTGCCTCGCTGTACAAACTTGTTAAACTGTGACCTCAACCTTGGGGACAGGGCATCCAGGTCATCATCATCTTCCTCCTCATCACTGGTGTCGGAACCTGGACGGATGTCAGAGACGTGAAGGTCACTGCTATATTGTCCACATACTTACTATATACATTGTTGCTATAGATGTACGATGCTGCTCTGCTAATAACATCAGAGATCTCACCCCAAAGTGTTGCAAATAGTAGTTTCAAGATCAAAATTAGTAGTCGGACCATAGAATTAGTAGTCAACTAAATACTTAAAATCATAATGGACTCTGAGTGAGATGATATGACTGACTGACTGACTGAGTTTTAGTTTTAGCAATATTCCAGCAATATCACGGCGGGGGACACCAGAAATGGGCTTAACACATTGTGCCCATGTGGGGAATCGAACCCGGGTCTTCGGCGTGATGAGCAAACACTTTAACCACCAGGCTACCCCACCGCCCAAGATGACATGACACTAATCAAGAGTGAAGCTTTCACTTCACATACCTCCAACAGTATATTTCCTAATTATCAGCATCACATTTCTTTGTCTCTTTTTGGCAAAAATGTATTTACAGAGCTCCAGATAAGATTTAACTCATGTGGGTACTGTACCCACTGTAATTTTTTGGAGTGGGTATTATGAATGTTGAGTGGGTATTTCATTGTCCGTTACCCACTGCTTTCAAATATGTGCATATTTCAGTCATATTACTCACCTAAGTATGTCATTGAGTAAGTTAACTAAGCAGGTATGTTCTGCCTTATGTCATACCGAATCAAAACCAACTTAAATATAATGGAAATGATTTCATAAAAAAAATCACTCATCCTATACTCACAGTACAACACTAGTCCTATACTAACAGTACAACTTGATAGCAATCAATGTCTTTTTCATTACGCAAGCGATTTTTATAAATATATTCCGTACGCATTTGTTTTAAACTTTTTGTGTATCTAACATTTTGCGTTATTGGTATGCAGCAATTATTTTTCAATGCATAATTGGAAATTTCTATGCGTATTTTACCCGGATACGCAGCTTATCTGGGCCTCTGTATTTAATCGAAAAATATGTTTTTGTCATACATCCGAATTTTAATGAATTGTCTTAAAATACGTAGCGACTAAGATAAAATCATAGAGGTTAGCATCTTTGTAACATGCATATAACCATAAATAACTGTTGTAGATTTGCCATATATCATGCAAGTATAGATTTAAGACAACATTTAAGCATCACAATACATCTACAATCACAGTGTCCTCATATTGCAGGGATGGCAACAGGAAAATCTATTCTCAGCTGAAAATTTAATATTGTGTCATCGAGTTGAGGGTTTCTCAATGGATTTAGGCGATTCACAATTGAACAATTTGAAATAAAATCAGAGGAAATCCGCGGATCAGCGGAAAATTGACATCCCTGATATTGTGACAATTACCTTCTTCCTCATCTCCAGTTTCCTCCAAGTCATCATCATCATCATCATCTATGAAGTCATCATCATCGCTATCTGCTTCATCTTCTGAAAAGATATTGTCAATGCAGCAGTCAATAGTTACTGGGCAGTTTGAACTTGCAATGTTGCAGCTTCTTGTTTTTCAATCCTTTCATTCAGTGATAATGTCACTACTTTGGGCATTAGACTTGATCTTACAAACCCATTCCCTACGCTTATGAAAGCAGTCACTGAAGAGGAAATTGTCTGGAATTTCATGATCAGAATTAACCGATATTGGGCATGTTCTGATGGTTTGATGATTTTAAACACATGTAGTTAAATAAACTACACATTATTTGCTTAGGGCAGAGATGCCAACCCGAAAGTGTTGCAAATAGTAGTTTCAAAGATCAAAATTAGTATTTTGACCATAAAATTAGTAGTCATGATGGATTCTGAGAAACGTAATAGGACACTAATTAAGAGTAAAGCTTTAATTTCACATACCTCCAACAGCAGATTTCCAAATTAAAGCATTACATTTCTTCTTGTCTGTTTTTGGCGAAAATGTATGTTTTTGTCTATATATCCGAATTTTAATGAATTTTCTTCAAATTTCGTAGAATTTCTAGTGCAGTCGTATTGGCGTAGTTGGAGGCTAAAATTCATAGCGACCACGATGAAATCATAGAGGTTGGCATCTCTGCTTAGGGCCAAGGTCATCTTAAGTCAAAATTCTGACCTTTAGGAAATGTTGTGGAGTATTTTACTGGCAGTATGGTAAGAGTCTATTCAAAATGAATTCTAAGAAACAATTCTTCAAGCTCAAACCTTAATTACAATCATTGTGAATGATCATCCCCCTCATCAGGACACCTGAGACTCACCTTCCTCCTCCTCTTCCTCCGAACCTTCCGCATCACAGTCATCAGCAGGACCAGCCTCTGCTTCTTCTTCCTCAGATATCAAGGACTTCTCCACATCACTTTCCTCTGCCTCTGACAAACCGTTCTCTGATGACAGAACAGATTCCTTCCCTCTCCTTGTTCCTCTCACCTCACCCCGAGCTGCAGCAGGTCCTCGAGAGTCCTCTGCCCCAAGGTCTGGCAGCTCATCACCCTCACTGTCCAAATCGGGCAATCTCATCTCACTATTCTCAGCCAGCTCATCACTTGATGATCTTTGTTCCTCACCCTCTTCATCCGAACTCTCAATTACAATATTCCTTTTGCACACACTCCTCCGCCGGTTCTTCTTCACTGGGGTTTCCTCGTCACTATCTCTCACAATGTCATCATCACAGATGCTGCTCTCAACCCTGGAATCCCCCTCCTCAACAACTGGAGTGTTCTCGACCGATTCCACAACATGGATGTTTTTCAGTGAGTCCAAAGCCTTAATACCTGGCAGACCAGCACCTTCTAGACTCTCCTGCAGCTTCTTCCGACAAGGAGGGGAATCATCCACATAGGTCTCCTCAAGCCTATCGCTGTGGACAGAAGAGGTTGATGATTGACTCTCGGGACTGTCAGATGCACAGCTCATTAAAGTGCGGCTCAGAAACTGAGCAGGAGATGCAGATTTAGAATAATTCCGTTGTCTCTTGGCCTTCAGCTCCATCAAAGGACTAGCAGGTTCGGGAGAGATCAAGATCTGCTCCTCTACAACCAGAGGACGTTTCTTAAAAGGTGTCAACTTTTTGTATTTGAATTCTTTTGGCGATGTCAATTCCTCTTTCACAGTTAGTAGTTCTGGAACCTCTGGCTTGTTGGTTGTCAATCCTTCATCAATGTCATCTATCAGTTCTGTTTCCTTGTCAGATGAGGATAAATAATCTTCAAGTCTTTCACAAGTGGCATTCATCTGTGAACAATCCAATCCTGATGTCTTGTCATCTGCACCAGCATCAGAATCAGGCTGTATAGTGATGCTCATGTTTTGGTCAATTCTGTCAATGACATCATCAATTTCATTGGACAGTGTGTCTTTGGCATTTGATTGATGGGCGTCGAGGTGGTTGTTCATTACCGTATCTGCTTCAGAGCTAATTTCTTCCTCACAGCTTTTATACTCTGTGTTATCGCTGGCTGGTGAGGTATTTTTTCTAATGACATCCTTGTTAGGTGATGGCACATCATTCTCTGTCATCGACACATCAGCTTCGTACTTATCAGATCCTTCATCGGACTGGGACTTATTCTAGAAGGAGGGGAGATATATTGTAATTTACAATAAAAAGATATATTTGAAAACAACTGCAAGGGAAGTAGGGGGTGAGTGAGTGAGTTTAGTTTTACGATGCATTTAGCAATATTGCAGCAATATCACGGCAGGGACACCAGAAATGGGCTTCATGTACTGTACCCATGAGGAGAATTGAACCTGGGTCTACAGCATGACGAGCGAATGCTTTAACCACAAGGCTAACCCACCACCCCATCAAGTAGAAAGGTAGGTGAAGGTCAAAGATAATTATATAACACTTTATATACCATCTACTGCTGTATTAAAAGGATCTCAATGACACTATCAACGTTATATGGTGACCTCTGAGAATGGATATTAATACTGATGTAGTGTTAGCAACATCACTTCTGGGATGATATCCAACTCAGGACTTGATACAAAATGTCAAAATAGTATTCAACGTGCAAATATATATGTATAAAATACAATTTACATTTTTGTGGCATATTTTGAATTTCTACCTTGCCATAAGTTGTGACAAATGAAAAAGAAAAATTTGCTATGGCAAGGTTTTACAATTCTAAAATAATTTTTTTACCTCATCATGGATTGATGTATGTTCAACCTTGACCTCTGTCTTCAAACCTGACCCTTCAACCTTGACCTCTGTCTTTACAGCTAACCCTTCAACCTTGACCTCTGTCTTTACAGCTGATCTTTCAACCTTGACATCTGGTGGTAAATATTCTGATTTAACCTTCACAGGAGAATCAAGAATTTCAATCAAAGAACTATCTAATCCATTCTGATTCTGCAAAACAGGTGCCCTCTCCTCTTTGACCTTCACTGGTGAATCCTGAACTTCTACTGGTTCATCATCATCATCATCATCATCATCATCATCATCCATGACAGTGAGGTCCACAGTGGCGGGGAGAGGAACATCACTGTCATAGTCAGAGCTGCCTGGAATATATGAAAGGTCCCGACATGACTTTTTTCTATATGCTTGCAACAGCTGGGCAACAGTAAAAAAACACCACCTTATTGCTCTGTTGAAAGAATGCTTATGTCACTTTCATAAATTTCCTGACATATAATGATAGTGATTCATGACTTTACACAGGAAAATACATCCTCATATTCATGTGTTTGTTTTGCAAAGTCTCATTCACCACTATTCCCGTTGTTTGTGGGAACTGCGGTGGCTGAGTGGGTAAGATCACTGAATTTGTGTGCTGATGAGTAGGTGCCTGAGTATGGGTTTGAATCCCGGATGGGTCAACAACAAACAAACAGAGATTAAACTGGAGGAAAGAACAGATACCTTTTGGCCTGTTTGGTTTCTGTTCATATTGCTTGGGTTGGAAGAAACCTGTAGGGGATTTGCGCAGCTGAGCTCTGTTGTTGACATCACAGTTGCGGGGGTATTTCCCCATTCTCTCCTGCAGCGTTGACGACAGACTAGACTCCATCTGCAGCAGCTCCTGGGCTTTCTGCACCTGAACACATCAGACATGGATCTGGATCAGGCAATGGATTCCCTGGCCGATAAACATTTTGAGAATGTTAATTTCTTAGATTGACACATGTATCCATATCAAACTGGAATGGTCAATAAAACCACAGGTTCATCTGTCAGACCCGTACATGAGAGTGAATGAGTGAGTTGGGTTCATTGCTGCTTTGAACAGTGTTCCCGTTATATCACTGCATAATTTGGCTTCCCTGGCCCACAGACCTGAACAGGTCAGATTTGGATCTAGATTCCCTGGCCCACAAATCTCATCTCCTGCACCTGACATGAATCAATCTAGATCCAAGTTGAAGATATTGTTGTGTGTGGCCCAGAGTTCTTCATCCCTTTACACTGACAAGACTCAGGTGTAGATGACAGATTCAGGGGCAGACACAGACAAGACAGATAAAGGGACAGGGACAGACACAGACACAGACAAGACAGATAGAGGGACAGGGACAGACACAGACAAGACAGATAAAAGGACAGGGACAGACACAGACCAGGCAGATAAAGGGATAGGGGCAGACACAGACAAGACAGATAAAGGGACAGGGACAGACACAGACAAGACAGATAAAGGGACAGGGACAGACACAGACAAGACAGATAAAGGGACAGGGGCAGACACAGACAAGACAGATAAAGGGACAGACACAGACCAGACAAGACAGATAGAGGGACAGACACAGACAAGACAGATAAAGGGACAGGGACAGACACAGACAAGACAGATAAAGGGACAGGGACAGGGACAGACACAGACAAGACAGATAAAGGGACAGGGACAGGGACAGACACAGACAAGACAGATAAAGGGACAGGGACAGACACAGACAAGACAGATAAAGGGACAGGGACAGACACAGACAAGACAGATAGAGGGACAGGGACAGACACAGACAAGACAGATAAAGGGACAGGGACAGACACAGACAAGACAGATAAAGGGACAGGGACAGACACAGACAAGACAGATAAAGGGACAGGGACAGACACAGACAAGACAGATAAAGGGACAGGGACAGGGACAGACACAGACAAGACAGATAAAGGGACAGGGACAGACACAGACAAAACAGATAAAGGGACAGGGACAGACACAGACAAGACAGATAGAGGGACAGGGACAGACACAGACAAGACAGATAAAGGGACAGGGACAGACACAGACAAGACAGATAAAGGGACAGGGACAGACACAGACAAGACAGATAAAGGGACAGGGACAGACACAGACAAGACAAGACGGATACAGGGACAGGGACAGACATAGACAAGACAGATAGAGGGACAGGGACAGACACAGACAGTTACAGATTCCTCAGTTAGGCCTTTGAGTTCAAATTCAATTTCAAACATTCCTTGTTATTTCTTCAAAATGTTAAACTGGTGTGGGAGGCTATAAGGAAGATGTTTAGAGTTATCTCCCTTCCATTATTGCTATATATCTGTTGTGATTAGTCAAATTTCATTTCGTTTTGAAGAGTTTAAGATCACTTATATAGTAATTTATTCATACTGACAGCGATAGTAAATTAAGTTTATAAAAACTGTAAATATTTCTGGGAGACAGAATAAAAGACATACTACTTTTCATACAAATATTCTATTCCCATCTAAATTTTTGAGGGTGGTGGATTTATATGCCATGGTTAAAAGAAACTCTGGCTTTACATAAACAGTAGTTTATGATTACAATGATTTTGTTTTCATATTCCAGTTTTACAAAAGCAGACTAAATAATCAAATCGGGTCCAGATAATCCAGTGATTGATATAATGACCAACGTCCCGAGACATTAGAGCATGAAGACACTCCATCAAACAAGTCATAGCTCCTGACCACAGTGTGTCATGAGAGGGAGTCATGGACATGTTTTCGGGAGTCAACTTCGGCTTGGAACTTTCATCACGACATCAACTGTGATTGTCTAATAACGACAAAAAACAAGGTATGGCCGGTCAGGTATTTAATCAGCACTGAGCAGTTAACTGGCAAACATTTAGTTTTAGAAGTTTTAGATTATCTGAACTAAGGGCCTATTAGCATTGCGTCAACAGTGACACAAGCTTCTAAATTCACTGCATATTTGAGGTAATTTGTTCATCAAATACGCAGGTTTTCCGCATCATAGCAAACACTGTGACCATTTGATCAATCAGGTCATCTTTTATGGCAAACGTTGCTGCAGTCAAATTTTAACTCCTACCCGTCAATGTGCAAATTCTAAACCGAACATTTCCCCATGGGTCCCTTACCCGATGCTGGATGTAGTCATTAGAGTGAGCCGCCTTGGTGTCGTGTTCTGCATCGCTGTCCACATCGTTAGCATGTTCCTGACTGAACATAAGGTCATGATCACTGACGCCAAATATCTCTGTAATATAAACATATAACATTTTTGGGTATGACTCCAGCAATATCAGACTGAGTGATATGACAATATTGATACACAACTTCCATAAAAACAAGTTGTTCAATGACACACATATGTATATATATAATTTTATAATGTATTAAATTTTCAGGAATCAGTGTAGAGGATTTCTAAACAGTGAGTGAGTGAGTTTAGTTTTATGCCGCACTCAGCAATATTCCTGCTATTTGGCGCCAGTCTGTAAATAATCGAGTCTGGACCAGAAAATCCAGTGATCAACAGCATGAGCATCGATCTGCGCAATTGGGAACCGATGACATGTGCCAACCAAGTCAGCGAGCCTGACCACCCGATCCCGTTAGTCGCCTTTTACGACAAGCATAGTCGCCTTTTGTGGCAAGCATGGGTTGCCGGATTCTACCCGGATCTTCACAGGTAGGATTTCTAAACAGTAAATGGAAAGAAGGCCAGAAAGCATGAAAGCGTGCAAAGTTACAATTTGAACATGCAATAAACTTTGAGGTTTCGCAATATCTTACTATTTCTTTTTGAAAGGTTAAAAAGCTTGGTTTAGTCATTTAGATTTTTATACCCCCACCAACTGGTGATATGTGGTCTTGTGCATAGAGCTCTGGTCACAAATCAGCTGAAGATAAGCTGGGATGGTCACGGGGAGTCCTTGGATGGGTGACTGTGTTTGGCAGTTTGACTCCTGAGAGTTTCCAGGACTTCAGTCCTGCCCCACAACGAAGCACATGTGATACATGTGGTCTGATCTTAGGCAAGTGAGTTTGTACAAAAGTGCCACTGTTCACCCAGCAGAAAATGGGTACCCGGTGGGATAAGACACATGACTATTAACCTTCTAGCGCCCACAGGCAGCTTGGGTTATCTGGGGTAATAATGTGCATCATGTTTTATGTGCTTCGAGTATGCCCGTGTGGCGTGGAGTTCATCTCTATATAAGTGGCCTGATTATTAATATTATATTATTTTACACTTAATGTGGCACACAAGCCTTCATCATTTTGTACAGAATGAGCACTGCTTCCTTATATTTAGGAATGTCAAAAATGCATTTTTTTCTTTTCATGGCTCTGCTTGTTGGACAAATTTGATATCACTTTGCAAAAGTAACACCATTGAGAAATCATTCCAATTTTGAACTTTCTTAAAAACATGTTATGAAAAATTACAAATTGTTCCACTACTTAACAGAATAGATGCATCATAACAGAGTGGGTGCGGTGGGGTAGCCTTGTGGTTAAAGCGTTCACTCGTCACGCTGGTTCGATTCCCCACATGGGTACAATGTGTGAAGCCCATTTCTGGTGTCCCCCGTCGTGATATTGCTGGAATATTGCTACAAGCGGCGTAAAAACAAACTCACTCACTCATAACTGAGTTGATGAACAGAAATAGCTGATGAGTGAGTGAGTTTATTTTTACGCCGCAGCAATATTCTAGCAATATCATGACTGGGGACACCAGAAATAATAATTTATAATTCAAATTGTTTTGATGAGGTAATAATGACTGTCCATATTGTAGCTGTTTGCACATCATCAAAACAATTTGAATTATAAAACTTTAGTAGTTTCTATTATTTGCTTATTTGTATCAAATGGCCATGAAACAAAACTAAGGTAATTTGCTAAAATCCAACTGTTTTCATTCAGAGATAACTTATTTTCATTGAAGATTTTACCATGGCTTCAATCTTTGACCTATGTTGCTGCAAGGTAGGTGGGTTTTAATTAACAATTTAACCACCATACACAAAATATGTAATGTGATGGGGGTGATGTTTAGAATAAAAAGGTTTAATAAATATACTACCCATCAAAAGCTTAGACTCACTTAAAGCACACACTATATGTTATGTATATATACATATAGTTACATCGAAGATGAATTTCTCCACTATCTTGGGGGAACCAACTGCAAACCTTACGCAGATGAATTGCACAAGGATCAGGCACCAGATTGCTGAAGAGCAGGTGCAAATAATGTGCATGTGAACAGCTGCGTTTTGGTGCAAAGTTTTGTTAAGAATTCGCCAATTTTCACTGAGTTTCATCATTTATTGAACTCATGACAATAATCTTTTCAATGTTACGAATTTGTTTTACAATACATCAATTCATGTGTAAACAGTACCTTTAAACAGTATGGAATATTTTGCAAAATCTAGTTTTGAACAGTTGACTGAAATAAGTGGCTGCATTTCTACTAGTGAGTCTAAACTTTTGAAGGGTAGTATACATAGAAATGAGATAAAAGCCAAATAATTGATGGGTAGAGGAAAATTGAGAATTATGAGATGGTGTGAACGGAGTGTGATAACAAAATGGACAACAAACATACATTTGAACCACTACAACTGGCTGTTTACATAAATCACTACAGTCACAAACACAACATGTAGAGATTACTACACTCAAGACAACAGATCCTCCATTGTTTAGTCCATGGTCTGGCAGATATCAGAAGCTTAATTGCCGTGACGTTAATCTGCAGGACTGTATCTACTACCGGGGATTAGCCGGAGATTATCTTGGAGGTGTTAAACACTACACAAACATGTTGATACATGTCGCATTGCTAAAGATAAGCACAAGCTTCTGTGTGGACTTTTGGCAGGATTTGTTGTTTTATGAATTAACGTGAAAATTCCAGTAAAAACAAAGCTGGGTGAGGTGAATGAAGGTTAAGATTTTGTTGCACACTGATTAAGAGACCTTTGGCACAGTAAAGGGTTCATCTAGATAATGAGTCTGCTATCTGGAGCTGGGCTTCCATGGTGTGATCTCAGCACTTACTATAGTATTAAAAAATCTGTAGTCTACAGTTTCTATACGAGTAGTAACATGAAAAAACAACAATCCAGAAACACAGATTAATACCTCCCCCTACAACTTCAGGCAAATTTCTAAAATCAAAATTCATACAAAGTTAATTATACAACACCTACGCCCCATTCAGGTTGTCATATCTTTCAGTCAAATCAACCCTCTATCGAGGAAACACTAAATGGCCCATAATCATATATAAACTCTCCCCATCATCATCATCATCGATTACACAATGCCATTTAGAAAGTGGTCAAATGTAACATGTGTTATATTTGGGATTACACTTTCTTAGTAAAGTACAAACTTTAGTTGAGCCCCATCCAAGAAGTCGCGGTAGCTGATCGGGTTAGGCGGCTGACTTTGTGTGCTGGCGATCAGGTGCCTGACTCTGAGGGTGTGAGTTCGAATCCCGGATGGGGCTCAACTCAAAAAAGTACTAGAATTTGTACTTAACTAAGAAAGTGTAATCCCAAATATAACATATGTTACATCATCATCATCATCGGGCCGTGGGGTAGCCTAGTGGTTAAAGCGTCTGCTAGTCACGCTGAAGACCCAGGTTCGATTTCCTACATGGGTACACTCTGGAGTCCCCCGCCTCGATATTGCTGGAATATTGCTAAAAGCGGCGTAAAACCATACTCACTCACTCATCATCAGTTGCTCTTACCCAGTGAATGTAGATAGGCGATATGAGTGTCCAGTCTGGGATCTGACCGCCGGTCAACTCCATGCATGTCCTGCAGCTGTCTCTGTGTCTTGGAGAAGCGGGCATCGTCCAGTGTGAACAATTCACGTAGTTCCCCCTTAGTGAAGTACCTGGATAGAAATTACACACCATCATAATATGGGGTGGAAATAACTTTAAAATTGCTAGTGTACTCTGGAACAGTGGCACATGTAAAATCACTTGCCCTGATCATTTTTCCACTATACCAGCTGTTTTCTTGTTGATATTTTAAAATAAACAACATAATTAACATTGGAAAGTCAACTGGACACCGGTACAGTGTGATATACAAATTTGCTTGCCCGGCGGAAAAAAACACTGGAGTCAGACGTCGGGCAATGGGTTATTTCCACCCCTGATAATATGTTCACTCTTTTCAGGAGATCTCTGTTATTTTAGAAACACAGTTTTACCAAGACTGAGTTATTCCTGAACATTCTGATGGCTTACTTTTTGGTTTAAACATATTTGTATTCTTAAAGAATCTGGTTTTGTAAACAAGCAGAACTTTACTTATATCAATACCTCACCAGTACATATATCATTTAAACAAAATACACAAGAACTGGATACAAAAAATGACAAATCATATATTTGAGTTGTAGGTGCTTATAAACCTTGAGCATGCACCTACACTTCATTAATTGATTGCATAAAATTACCATCTAGAATAATTTATCAAATCGTTTAGACTTAAAGATGTATTGATGCAGGGACTCTATTATGTTCTTATTGACATTGTTGTTTGCCGGAGGTATTCCGTATAACACAGTTTGGAGATTGTGGCCATTTACATAGAAATAGGTATTATTTCTAACAGCAGTGTATAACTTATATGTAAAAAGATAATGAACAGTATCTTCATTGTGGTATCCACAAGCGCATTCAGGGTTGTTAGAAATGTGTCTATTTACTTTATCTGCATTCACACCACTACAGCCGAGCTTAAGTCGACAGTGTACGATCTGACAGAATTGACTGAGTTATTCTTGAACATTCTGATGGCTTACTTTTTCAGGTACATAAGTTTTAATGTGGGCTATTGACAAGTTTGTTGGAAATGAGTTAATACTCATGTCAATCAATCTTTATAAAGGGCACTGGCCTATAGTAAATTTATACACACAATATATACAACTGAGCAGTAGAAAAGCATATGTCAAATATTTACAGATTACAAATTAAAACAGATTTTCTATGTATAAATGCAAAAAAGATATACATTGACAGGTTCTATAATTCAATACTATTTTCATTTGTTGATGGTATGGTCATTTCTATTTCATTTGGATGGGTATAATAGTAGGATGTTAAATATTTCTTTCTAAGGTTTTCAAAGGCAGATAAAAAGAAAATGGTAATCGACTGCTACAGCCAGAGGTACAAATAAGCTGCGTATCTTCGTAAATTACGCAAATATTTATGCGAAAACTCAATTCCTATTAAGGGTATTGCATAAAAGTATGCTTCAATTTTTTAAAATAATCAATATATTTGATATTATTTGTGTACAAACAAAACAGATAAAATAACTGAGGTATATTGAGAGTTTCTATTTCAGCACGTGGACTCGGCAACCTGCAGTCTTTCTTAACAGATCAAATATAAATAACAAACACGTAAACCAACATTTAAACTTTAATATATTTTTACAATTAATGGAAAATGGCAAAATACCCAATTGCGTTTGAGTGAGGTGGGTACAATTTATTTGGTTACTCAAAGGAAAATTGGGATACCCAATTAAGATGAACATAAGCGAATACATAACTCAATGACCTAAAAAGTTATCTGTAGCTCTGTACAGCATTAATGTTACAAAGGTTGCAAATTCTATGATTACAAGGAATATTAATATAACGCTCATAGGGCTCGAAAAATTCCACTCGTCCGCTCATATTGACAAGTAAAATTTGTTTTGGGAGTGAAAAACATAATTTGCTCGCCCTAGAGGATGAGTACATTTTCTGACCCAAAATTAACATTTATATTTTTCCTTGAAGTTCAGCTATCTTAAATGGTGAACGAATTCAATTTTGTCAAAGAGGTTGTACAGAAGACAAAGTAAGTAATTATATATTGTAGTTTTATTCCAAGCAAACATTTTGAAATTAAAGAATTAAAATTTATATACATTGTGATGCATGATCTACATGGCAAGTACATATTCAGAAGGACGGAGTGGAAAGTTCATATTACTCGCCCTAAAGGGCGAACACAGATTTTTGAATTTTTCGAGCCCGGGCCCAGTTTCAACAAACAACTAATGGGATAAAGCTACATGGAATTGCCTTTCAGTGATTTTTTTATTATTAATATTCTTGGCATAGTTCAGATTTCCATTGTTTATAATGCAGATATTTAGAGGATTAGAGTATACGCTCATGCATTACCTGTCACATCTGTTACTAATAATTTTCTCCCTTATTCAATATTTTTGTTCATCTGTATCAAAATGTCCCAATGTTTATGAAGTGGGAAACATCAGTCCCAGTAACCTGTACCTAGAAACTTGCATCATTGCCTATTTATATGCCCGAATTATACAGATATATGTCATGTAAGCTACTTTTATGTGAATGGTCACAACTTTAACACTCTATTATTCAGTAATAAGAACCTATCAAATTATGTCAATACAAACAAAATCCAGTCTGTTCATAAGTTTATATGACTAGGCAAACGTTTGTCGCAATGGTTTTTCTGCATGAATGTAAAATAACATCTGATGTAGATATCCTGTTGTTATATGTATTCGTTTGTGGAGAGACATTAATATGGGGGAAACCGTGTCTGTCAATCCCACTGTACATGAATTAAGTACAAGAATAAACATTATTTAAACTAACTGATCCGACAAAGAGGTCCATGATTTTTTAAAACCATTACGGACAAAATATTTCAATACTGATACAATAATCAGTTATCCAAATAAGTTGTCCATAGCTGACATGTTATTTTGTGATATTTGACATGAATAATATGTTTGAAATGATTATTATTATTTTTTATTCATAAATAATTATTGGTAAACACATTTAACATCAAGATGGAAAGCCTGAAGTATTTTTACAATAACACACTCTGTTTGAAATGTTTATTTTTTCTTTTGATTCATACATAATTATTGGTAAACACATTTAACATCAAGATGGAAAACCTGAAGTATTTTTACAATAACACACTCTGTTTGAAATGGTTATTATTTCTTTTGATTCATAAATAATTATTGGTAAACACATTTAACATCAAGATGGAAAACCTGAAATATTTTTACAATAACACACTCTGTTTGAAATGGTTATTATTTCTTTTGATTAATAAATAATTATTGGTAAACACATTTAACATCAAGATGGAAAACCTGAAGTATTTTTACAATAACACACTCTGTTTGAAATGTTTATTTTTTCTTTTGATTCATAAATAATTATTGGTAAACACATTTAACATCAAGATGGAAAACCTGAAGTATTTTTACAATAACACACTCTGTTTGAAATGTTTATTTTTTCTTTTGATTCATAAATAATTATTGGTAAACACATTTAACATCAAGATGGAAAACCTGAAGTATTTTTACAAATACACACTTTGTTTGAAATGTTTATTATTTCTTTTGATTCATGAATAATTATTGGTAAACACATTTAACATCAAGATGGAAATCCTGAAATATTTTTACAATAACACACTGTTTGAAATGGTTATTATTTTCTTTTGATTCATGAATAATTACTGGTAAACACATTTAACATCAAGATGGAAAACCTGAAGTATTTTTACAATAACACACTCTAAACATTTCCCATAATAAAATTTGACTTTATTAATCAATATAAGAACAAAGTATCACCATTGATTGAAAAGAACTGATTCTAACCAACAGGTATTGATAACATGCACATCAGTTCTGCCTGCTACTGAGTTTCCATGACAACATACATGCTACAGCACGCACACTACCAGGATTTCTGTACATACAGACTAAAGCTATTTCACATGGTTTACAAAATTTGTTCCAAACAATTAGTTTGGAAAGTCGAAATATACTGAAAACAAATGCTGACCCTGTTTAAAGTGTGATGGTTACATTAAATACAGTAGGTCACAACATGGCAGAAAACAGTGCCGACTTAAATCAAACTCAAACACAGGGTTTTATGCAATGTGCATCCAGTGAGTGAGTGAGTTGGGTTTTATGTCGCTAATAGCAATATTCCAGCAAAATCACGGCGGGGGACACCAGAAATGGGCTTCACACATTGTGCCCATGTGGGGAATCGAACCTCAGGCCTTCGGTGTGACGAGTGAACGTTTTAATTGCTAGGCTACCCCCACACAAATGTAGAGAATGGTCAAAGAAAAAATTCACTGCTTCCAGAGGGACGCACAATATTACTTATTACTGATTGTACCAACAACACATCTATGACTTTGCTAAGAGTTTGGTTGTTTCTTTCAGAGCAGTTACCATGCATCGTTTCACTCATCAGTCCACATGATCAATGATTCATTCCAGGCTCTAAAGAAATTATGAAAACATACAGTTCTCTACACTGTTACTTCATAGGACCCTCATATTGCCTGCAAGGACCCTTAAAACTAATAATTAGGAGTCCACAGGACCACAGTGTTTGTGAGTCAAGGTAAAACCCTGAAATGTATCCATTTCTATTAGTTGAAGCTTTACTCTTAAAATCCTTTCAGTCGCCAGAAACATTTTCAATTTTTGTTTAAAAAAAATAGAAAATAAAAGATTTCATTTTCATCATGTATATAGTAGCAATCATTTAGACCTGAGACTGTGCAGATAAATCCCTGTTTCTCAATCTTTCATAATAATACATATTGATCTTATTATATAACCTTGAACATGTGTGCTTGACTATAACATAATCAACTTTAGGGATATCCATGCTTGTTACCAGGACTCACGTAACTACACCTAAGTCCAACACTATGGAAATTGAGTTTCCTTGAGTTGAAATACGACAGGAAAAAATACATCTGAGTTTAATGGTTACAGCTTAACAATAACAGTAACTATAGCTCAGATATAGCTCTGGTCTATGGATATTTTCAGTTC